CCACTCTCATTCTCTTATCCCCATCTAAAAAGATCTTAAGGAGAGAAACCCTAAGATTAGAAGATCCAAAACCCAACTCAAGTTCAATATCCATGGATTCAGGTATAAGCTTCCGCTCTTAATGTTTAATCTCTATGATTTAATCACGTTTAGATCTAACATCTAATTGTACGCTTACATGTTGTTAATGCACTCTTATCACAGAAGTTGGTAACATTGGATTTATTTATAACACAGAATGAGCTTAAAGATATTCTCCAAGCTGTATGTGCAGGAACGTGTGCTTAGTATGACTATACATTAACTATAGCTAATTGCATTGTGGATGCCTTTTAGATTTCTAGATAATGTCTTGGCTTTTTCTGCAGTAACCATGCATCCTTTCGTTTGATATGCTTCCTGTCTGCTTCGGAACTCCTTGTGGATTTGTGATATGTAGACGATATTGGATTTAAGGTTATGGATTGGCTAAGTATTTCCTTGTGAATTTGCACGTGCTCATATAACTTGATATAGTTCTGAGATGTAAGTTATGATGCAATTTTCAGGTACTCTTCTCATTATGTTAAAGTGTGTTATATATCTTTTAGACTTTTTTTGATCCACTGCCATCCAGTCTTTGGTGGAAGTTCTCAAGATTTTCGAAGAGCTAGGCCAGATGTTGTTGTCCTTCAGCTCTCAAATCCTTTCAAATTCTCAAATCCCTTTGCTGGAGACTCAAGAGTATCCAAGTAAAGGTCGGTAATCAAATCACTTGTAATGTCGATCTTTTTTGTGAGCAAATCACCTTGCATCATCCATATGGGCTTCAGTTATCTGGATATAAAATGATGTACGAATCACTATTTTCTTTGCAAATCAAAGTATAGCTTGAAGACTATTTCTGAAGCTATGCAAAATACTTGTGCTACTCGTGATTATGGCAAAGTAGCAATTTGATTGCTATCTTCAATAGTTCCGATGGACCGATGGTGTTCTTATGTTGTTTTTTGACAAATGCATATCTATATTTATTCATGAGGTTGCATGCTTACTTAGCGTCTACCAAGCCTTGATATCAAAATGGGAATTTTTAATTTTCGAAATGTATCATAAATGGATATTGATTGACTGGTGGCACACTTTTTGTGTAGATGCACTTTTCTTTCTCTGAGTAGATTTCTGAGTACTAGAATGCATGCCAATTTTGCCTATGGCAGTGCTATTGATGTACATAAATATCTGCTAGAGGTATCCTAATTCTTCAGCAATATTTACATTGGTGGCTTTTTTTACTTTCAGGCTATAATGATTATCAAATTTTCTAAGATTAGCAACCTACAGTATCTACTGATATTGCACTGGATAGCTAACAATAATGATATTGACCAAGTTCGAAGCCCTGATCCTCTTACTAAGGGATTGCCACCCAAGGTCTTTCATGAGCACACCGCTCATATGGGTGTGGTGATATTAGAGGATATCATGATTTAGTGGGAGTTTGTAATTTTTGGTGCTTTGTGTTTGGTTGTATTGTCTGATCAGAATAAAATATTCAGTTAAGACACTCTGTTATATTATGTTTGGTTTTGACCTCACTAAAGTAGGACCAGTTAAAAATAAACATGTACTGATCACATTGCATGTAATTTCCATGCTGCACATTTATAATTGATCTATGTCGTTTGATTGTATTGGTATATGTGACCATTGATGGGTCGAGTCACGATAAATGTGACGAATGCCGCTTTGATCCTATATTGATATAGTCAATGGACGAGATTGTTCGGAAATATCTTTTCAGTGATAGCAATTTTGAGCTCACAACGTTATACACACCTTAAGGAGTCATATGGTGCCCAAGTGGGAGATTGTTGGATTTAAATCTAATTAAATCTATTTGTGGGCACATATGATTAATCTGTGTGTATTGCTATCTTTCAGGATAACCCACTAAAGTGATTAATTAATTTGGATTAATGGGTATTTAAATAAATCATGGGGTTATATGTGCAGATACCAGGTTGTAATTGTTATTTGATGAGGGGCCAAATTATAAATATACAACACCTATATATATGGGGTTATGGTCCCTAATCTAGGGTTAGCCACTCTCATTCTCTTATCCCCATCTAAAAAGATCTTAAGGAGAGAAACCCTAAGATTAGAAGATCCAAAACCCAACTCAAGTTCAATATCCATGGATTCAGGTATAAGCTTCCGCTCTTAATGTTTAATCTCTATGATTTAATCACGTTTAGATCTAACATCTAATTGTACGCTTACATGTTGTTAATGCACTCTTATCACAGAAGTTGGTAACATTGGATTTATTTATAACACAGAATGAGCTTAAAGATATTCTCCAAGCTGTATGTGCAGGAACGTGTGCTTAGTATGACTATACATTAACTATAGCTAATTGCATTGTGGATGCCTTTTAGATTTCTAGATAATGTCTTGGCTTTTTCTGCAGTAACCATGCATCCTTTCGTTTGATATGCTTCCTGTCTGCTTCGGAACTCCTTGTGGATTTGTGATATGTAGACGATATTGGATTTAAGGTTATGGATTGGCTAAGTATTTCCTTGTGAATTTGCACGTGCTCATATAACTTGATATAGTTCTGAGATGTAAGTTATGATGCAATTTTCAGGTACTCTTCTCATTATGTTAAAGTGTGTTATATATCTTTTAGACTTTTTTTGATCCACTGCCATCCAGTCTTTGGTGGAAGTTCTCAAGATTTTCGAAGAGCTAGGCCAGATGTTGTTGTCCTTCAGCTCTCAAATCCTTTCAAATTCTCAAATCCCTTTGCTGGAGACTCAAGAGTATCCAAGTAAAGGTCGGTAATCAAATCACTTGTAATGTCGATCTTTTTTGTGAGCAAATCACCTTGCATCATCCATATGGGCTTCAGTTATCTGGATATAAAATGATGTACGAATCACTATTTTCTTTGCAAATCAAAGTATAGCTTGAAGACTATTTCTGAAGCTATGCAAAATACTTGTGCTACTCGTGATTATGGCAAAGTAGCAATTTGATTGCTATCTTCAATAGTTCCGATGGACCGATGGTGTTCTTATGTTGTTTTTTGACAAATGCATATCTATATTTATTCATGAGGTTGCATGCTTACTTAGCGTCTACCAAGCCTTGATATCAAAATGGGAATTTTTAATTTTCGAAATGTATCATAAATGGATATTGATTGACTGGTGGCACACTTTTTGTGTAGATGCACTTTTCTTCCTCTGAGTAGATTTCCGAATACTAGAATGCATGCTAATTTTGCCTATGGCAGTGCTATTGATGTACATAAATATCTGCTAGAGGTATCCTAATTCTTCAGCAATATTTACATTGGTGGCTTTTTTTACTTTCAGGCTATAATGATTATCAAATTTTCTAAGATTAGCAACCTACAGTATCTACTGATATTGCACTGGATAGCTAACAATAATGATATTGACCAAGTTCGAAGCCCTCAGCCATAATTTGCATATACATATGGCTGGTTTATTTTATGTGATGTCAAGAAATATTTTCAAATGATTTTTTGCACATAAAGTTCATCAACATGCATAAATTATCAAAGTAGTACACGATAATAACAAAGTAGTAAATATTCAGGCTTTGATTTTAGTGATTTTAAATAGATTTCTAGACTACGATGCTCTCCAATACATTTCTTACTCAGATTGGCAACAGCTTCATTGTAACATACTTCATGGGCGTGTGTTAGAAGTTCATTTTTTTGCAAAAAGTGTTAGGTTCTTCTTTGCAGTAAGGGCAGTTTCAATTTTTGTTTTGGTTTATAACATCCGTATAGGCAATCCATTCTTCAAATGTTTGTTTATGTCACTGATAAAAAAATATAGTAAATTGACATTAAAATAAACAGCTCCATTATTTATCATAAAAAAATTTAAATATTCTTACCTTTGATGATGGTGTAAATAAAGATTCACCAATATCTTTATTTTTCTTACTCATATTTTTTTCATGGTTAGAATTTGGTATGCAAACATTGCATTTTATAGATATATATGGATTGCTACGTTTACTTGGTGTTTGGAGGTTGAATTTGACAATATTTATTTGGATCAATAAATTTTCTACTGGTATTGCCCATGATTTTGAAGCACTCATGGTTTTAAAACCTAACTGGTTTTGTTTCTGATAGTTAACTCAACTACTCAGTCTCCATTACGTACATGTTTGATATTTTCAGGTTTGATGCGATTTATCATGTCATATACATACTTATGACTAATCAGGTTGTTTATATGTTTTTTACAGGTTTCATAAGAATTTTTCGCTAATTCAGGTACGTATTTCATAAAATTATGAATAATTAGGTTATTACAGGTTTCGTTTATTTTTTTTATGTCAAATCAGTTACGCAATTCATAACAATTAATCATGTTATTCTAGGTTTTGTATGATTCATGTACGTATTTCATAAAATTATGAATAATTAGGTTATTACATGTACGTATTGCATAACAATTAATCATGTTATTTCAGGTTTTGTATGATTCAGGTACGTATTTCATAAAATTATGATTTAGTTCATAACAATTAATTCAGGTACGTATTTCATAAAATTATGAATAATTAGGTTATTACAGGTTTCGTTTATTTTTTTTCATGTCAAATCAGTTACGCAGTTCATAACAATTAATCATGTTATTCTAGGTTTTGTATGATTTTTTATGTCAAACAGATATTTAAAATGAATTCGGTTATTTACTATTTGTCCATATTACATTCGCACTTTTATTTTGATAAAATTACCCCCCATAACGATCACAAATAGAGTAAACTTTTATTTACTATTTGTTCATACTTATGACTATTTGTTCATAGTGAGAGTAAACTTATCTCCTACACACTTCAATACCAACCAAACACAAGAAAAGTAAAAAATGTCTAATCAACAAAAATTTCTCCTTTCTCATACCAACCAAACATAAGAAAAGTGCATACATTGGTTTCCCACCACATTTTATGTGTGAACCAAACTCAAACAATCTATTTCTTAAAAAAATTTGAAAAACCCAAAACTTGAGTTTCTTTACATAGAAATGTATTTCCCAATATATGAAAACGAACCAAACAGCCCCAAAAACTACCATAACAACTTTCAACATGCAAAATAGAGCCCGAAAAGAAAAAAAAACTAAAATAGAGATGACCCATTTGGCAGCTCCCTCTCATCAAAACCAATTTTGGCCTGACCAGTTTCGTTCGGAAGCAGGAGAGAGGTGGACCAAAACAAAACCAGTTTAAGGCCAAATATTAACCTAACAAAACTAGTTTTAGGTGGGAGTTGCCAAAAAGACCTTAAGGTAGAAGAGTTTTCTTGGATACGACTACAAAAAGTTGCCAAAAAGACCTTAAGGTAGAAGAGTTTTCTTGGATACAACTTCAAAAGAGATCCCATTCTCTTGAAGCCGATCTTGAAGATCAGTCGGTCCAAAAACAATGCCCGGAGGAAAAACTCCTCCTCTGGGTAAGTTCTTACGCTGGCTCAACAAAACCAATGCACACTGTACTAAAATGATCGGAGTGCTCAAGTAACCAATCTCAGGGCCAGAAACCCTAGTCACAATCTCGGTGTCAGGCTTTCTCCCATCAGAAGCATTGCTAGCATCACTATACCCTTGCCCTACAAACCACATTTTGAACGTAGCACTCCTCACCTCTTCTTCTGTTGGTCCCTTCTTTCTAAACCACCCTAAAGAGAAAAATTCAGGGAATTTCAAGAGAAGTGACCTCCCGAAGGAAAATATTCCAAAGAGTCCAATGGACAATCCCATCACCATGGCTCTAAAAACACCCATAAGGGATTTCAAACCAAGCTTCACTCCGAAATGTGCAGGCTTCACTGAGGCCCAGTAGTTCTTTCTCTTCTCCATACTGTCATCGCTTTCTTCAACACCTGGAAGGCCGTCGGGGTTCTCTGCTAGGGCTGCAAGTGTTCTTCGGACAACAACAGCATCAGCAGAAGGCAGCCTTATTGCCCAGAGTCCAAGTTCCTTGTGATGCTCTACCAGAGACGATTTAGGAGGACGAGGGCCTGGAATCTGCGTTGTGAATGAGATATTATCAGTATCTTAATAGTAATTAATCTGAACATAACATTATATCTAACCATCCCATATCAAGATTTTAACATTGAGAATATTACAAAAATCAATCAGTCACACAAATGCACTTGATAGGAACAGCACAAACTAACTGATTTTGACAAGGCAGTGGTGTCAGTAAACATCAAGAGAAATCATATTGATTTTTTTTGCCCTTAAGACATTGACCAAACAGGGAACCGGACTCTCTCTCAACCTCCTCAAACAAGGTTAGAAGCTTACAACTATGAATGAAAGGGTATAAAAATGTGACCCTCAAGGTTAAATCTAGAGGAGATCTCAAGAGAACATTAAGGTTATCCTTTTAGTTCATCGCAAAATTTTTCTAGGCTGCAACTCATCCGATCCAACGCCTGCCAAGAAAGCTGCAACTCATCCGATCCAACGCCTGCCAAGAAAGACAAGCTAGATTACGCAAATGTGTCCTGTCACGCCTTTAGAAATCCAAATACCTGAATTTGGTACATTTTTCTGAAATATTCCAACCATCCCATAAATTGGTTGTTCCTAAATGAGTCATGAAGAATATAACAAACATGCCTCGTCTAAATTGTGTTATTAAAGTACAAGTAGTTCTGTTAGGATTTAAAAAAGAACAACGGAAACGCAAAATAGAAGGGAAGAAGCAATTCATGTTGTTGAATTGAATGATTTGTACAAAATAGTAGGAGATCAAATATGCCATCACACTTTTTTATAGGACAAATTTTCAAAATCGACTTGTTTTGAAACTTATTCTCAAAAAAGACCCGTTTCAGATTTAATTTCAAAAACCGACCCAGTTTCAACCCTGAGGCTGATACTGGGTCGGTTTTTAAAATTAAATTTGAAACGGATCCTTTTTTGGGAATTTTTTTGGCAAACAAGTTGGTTTTGAAAATTAGTCCTTTTTCGTAAGGCAGAATACTTCTCTAAAAGCCAATTCTCGAGAAAGGGTTTGAGAATCAAAGCTTATGAAATTAGTATCTTCAAAAGGATATTTTTCAAACCAAGTTTTTATAAACTTTCAGGTGCCTCACATGAATTTACATCTTCAAAAGGATATTTTTCACACTAAGTTTTCATAAACTTTCAGGTGCCTCACATGAATTTACATCTTCAAAAGGATATTTTTCACACTAAGTTTTCATAAACTTTCATCCCTTACATACACCATGAGCCCTTTGTTCAGAAGAATGTACTCAAACTTGGAACAAAAATAATGTTATAGATTCTTTCAAGTGGAAGAGTATCTGTTTTTGCACTTGATTTACAAGGGTGCGCGATCATTATTTCTTCATCTACCAGTTGTCATTTATTCAATGGAAAACAAGCATTGGTATTAACCAGTATCACATATAATAGGAAACTTACTATAAACTCTGTGTATGCTAGTTATTAGTTTAATCTCATGAAGCATAAGTAATTACTTTCAAGATTCTCCAAATCTCACAGAACTTAAGTGATAACCTATTGTAAACTGCTGATTCCCAAAATAGTTTTTGCCAGACTCGAGTTAGATTAAATGTTTAAAAAAAACAGCAGTATGAGAGAGGAGAATGAGTTGTTCCCCCCCAACCAGTGGCGGAGCCACCCTTGTTCAAGGTGGTTCCCTTGAACCACCTCAGTTTTAGAAATAGTCCATACATAATATACATATCAGTAATGTACTCAAAGTTGTTTCTATCCCAGCGGCAATGAGCATGGTATAAAAATAGTTACTTCAGGAGGTCTTGTGTTCAATACTTAGGCCTTTCATTATTGCATTTAGAATCTCAATTTTATTCTTCATTCTTTGTTTTCACTCTACTTTTTTTGCGTCTTAACCTTTTGTTTTCTCTCTTTTCTAAGTTTTACCGGCCTTCTAATCATCATCTTTTTATGAAGATAAGTTAAATTATTGTTTTTATATATTTACTACTGTATTTTCTTCTTTTTGTTATTTTCTCCTCTATTTCTTTTTATTCCTATTTATTTCTTGATTTTTCTCCTACGATTAATTGAAAAATTTTTAAGGTTCATTTTGAACCACCACTCAACAGGTTGTAGATCCGCCACTGCCCCCAACAGCAACAAATGTATTTCAAACATGTGCCATTTCTTAATTGATATAACATAAACCCCTTATTTTCTGTGGGCTAATATAAGTCAACGCAGGCCAACAGTATCATGAGATTTACAACGAGAAATCAGCGTATCACACTTAAAATAAAAGCTACTGAGCTAAAATCCAACGCATTTATCAAATCTCGGTCTAAAACTTTTGAAACAAAACCCAAAGAGAAGGAAGAGCATTAGCATTAATGACTGAGTAGAACAATCTCCTCACCGAAGGCCGAGCTCTCCTGGGCCGAGACCGTCGCAGCTTCTGCAACTCAGCCGCATTGGCCACCCCAAGCACCGCCGACTCGTACAGCTTGCCCGAAATTACCAAGATCCTCCTGTCCGAACTCCAGCAACAGATACTGCCTCCACCGAGATTGGGCCGCGCGGGCCCACCCACTGCCTCGCAACTTGAACATCTAGCCCCCAACTCCGCCGAGCACCGAGTCGAACCCCGCACCGCCCGACACCACCAAAAGATCCCATTCTTTACGCGCCCTCCTCGATGCTGCTCGGCCTCCATCCGCTTCCATGAACCTCCCCGGCTCGCAGAGATGCTCGAGGTAATCAGCTGCCGCGCGAGACGCAGGCGCGAGACGACCGGGGGCCGCTACGGAGGCGGAAAGGGCCCATCGCCCAGTTGATGGAGGAGGCGAGTTCCGAGAGCGGCGGCGGCGACGGAGGCGGTAGGGGCGAGGCGCAGCGTCGCCATTTCGAATGCATGGGGATCTCGGTGGAAGCTGGGGACTGGGAGATTCGAGAGTAGAGGCCAGGCTAGGCGTTTGGGAAGAGCTTGTTAGGGTTTCGGCCGGCGAGCGGCCTAGGGTGTTTGAGAGGGCCTGAATTGCGGGGCTGAGAGCGAATTTGAGGCTTTCCGGCAACGACGTATATTCCCCGTTGCAAGCCGGAGGCCACGGAGGATCACGACGTCGCAACTCGATTGAGGATTATCTCCATTGAAACTTTTTTTTTTCTTTTTCTTTTTCCTTTTTCAATGAGATCTTTTTTTTTTTTTTTTGCAGAGTGTACTAGCTAGGATGATGGTGATTTTTATTGGATTTTTAAAAGAGGTTTGGGGAGTGAGGCCATAATATTGAAGGGGGCGTTGAAGGGGGCCGTGCGTGGCATGTGCTAGATGACGGTGATGCGGGCCGTCTTAATGATACAGGACACGGGTGATTCGGGTCGACCCGTGACCCAACCCATATGGGTCAACGAGCCGAGCAGGGACGCATGGTCTCCTTGCACCCAGGCAGGCCTAGCTCATATTTTTTTTTTGGGGGGGTGCTTAATTGTACTTGAGTACCTCTAATTTCACAAATGTTGCACTTATATATCCTCAATTGTTTTTGGAAGTACTTGTATACTTTCGCTTGTTTTTTGCATCACCTAAAAGTTCTTAAAACTTGCACTTAAGTAAAGTTCGCACTTCAATATCTTGATGTTTAGTTATGTCTAATGCATGATCAGATCATCAATGAACATTGTATTGCCGGCAACACTCGGTTAAATTTTACAAATCCTAATTGTTTATGTCATAAACTTAATTATGTGGGTTAGGGTGGATTTGGGAGAGTTTAGGGGTCCTCAATCTTCTTTCATGGTTGATCATTTTGAGCAGAAGAAGGTTCATGCATAAATATGAAATGTTAGAAGGTCAGAGTTAGGTTTTTCGCAGTCCTTCTGAAGACTATGTTAGTGATGATCTTAAGAAGAAAAAGTATATTGAAGAAGTAGCTTTTAGTTTTTTTTTAAGCAAAAAATAGTGTACCTTCATGTAGAAAACAATATGTCTATTTATAGTGAACTGTCAATCTGCCTATTTATAGCAAAAAATAGGTTTTTTTGTAGCAAAAAATAGCTCAGTCGACACTTTACATGTGTCAGCGGTGGGAGATTCGAGTCATCCTTGTGTTTAATACGATAATGATAGAATGCCTGAGGTGTGTGGTCCAATGAGTCATTATGACTTCAGCGACGGAATAATGATGGTTGTGTCCATGCATTTTTAATGTGATGGTGAATGGTCGACGTCATCTAGGATGACGAAGTAGATAGGTTTCCTTGCGGTTCAAGATGTGTCGCCGAGTCCAAGTGAAGAAGCTTTTCATCTCGATCCTTCGAGAGAGTCCCGACGAGGACACATTTTGTCTTGAACTCCTTGAGAGAAAGCTCAGGTGAGGACGCCTTTCATCTCGGATTCCTTGAGAAGTTTCGAGTGAGGATGTCTTTCGCATCAACTCTCAAAGTGCTCCAAGGAGGGTGAGCTGGACTCGTGAGACCCGGGTTGGTTCTTTGAATTAGGTTTGAGTTGGCTAATCAAGACATGTGTCATCCTCTTGAGAGTAGTTTACACCTAACAATTTCTATGGTACAATATTGGCCCCTTTCACTCAAACTCGGGTTGATGGGTCTAAGTGAAATAAAATTATTGTCTCCTAGGAATCTGAAGCGTGTTTAATGAGGGGTCATTGATGGGTCGCCATTGATTAACACTCTGACGTTAGGGGAGATTGTGCATTGGTTAATGGGGTGCATCTCTTTGGTTACCGAGTGTTCTCCTCGAATCTTGCATGCCTCTTAGCCGTCCTTTTATTACCGAGTCCTCCACTCAGATTATGCCACGTGTCACCTCCCCTACCTATATCTACGCTCGCTTCCTCAATAACTTAGTCTACTACTTTTCAAGCCCTAGAGTTTTCCCCGTTGTGTCTGTGTAATTTTTTATTATTTTCTTCAATTTTTTTATCTCCTTCGTCGGGAACAATAGCCTCATCTGCTTCAGACATGCTAGCAACGAAGCTAGGATTGCTTTGCTTTGGGAGTTCCACTCCAAGGTTCTCTCGTCGATTCTTGAGAGTTACAATGACCTGTTCGACATTCCTCAGGCATTTACTATGTTGGCAACGTTGAAAGATCAGTCGGTCTACCACCATAGTGGAAGTATTGCTCCAATGTAGTTCCATCATTTAGAGTATGGTTTGCACTTTCTGATCCTTTCCTTTCTCTAATGAGTCTTCAAGGTCGTGGGGATTTTGACGTTGCAACTAAAGCTGAACTCCCTCGCCATGCTCGTCAAGTTTGTTGTTATCTTCTATCGGGTGGACGTAGAGCTCATGTCAGGGATCCTTGGTCACTTGGTTTGTGCCAAGGTGGCTAAGAACTAGTGTCACTACTACATGCAGACATCAGGAGGTTTCAGACTCATTTCTAATATCACTAAACTCTAATAAAGGGTAGAAGGATTGGTTCTTCTTCATCTTTGGTGTCGACCCCCTTCTGGCTTGCTCCACTTGGCCAGAGATAAAGAAAGATGCTCTGAAGGTGGATCCACTCTCAAAATTGGATAGGCACGGGTTGGATAAAATTCGAGCCTACACGAGGTCTCACTGCAACAAGAATCTCTTTAACAACTCGATACAACGGTTGTCGGCATCTCTAGCACTCCTCCAACTGAGGAAGATAAAGCTTGAGCTACTCTTCTAATGCTATAAAAAGAGGGCACTGAGGTCTTCCAAGGCGGGTGTTTGGCAAGACCCAAAATCTCCTTTGAGTAGACTTGGCCCTGGAGGAGGTTAAGCAAATAAAGACCAACGCGGCCAAAATAGTGGTTTGGGTGGTGGGTTCAAGTCCGACCATCGCTCATGCTGAGAGGTCGGATACGAAGAGAAGGGGGAAGCTGAAGGTGAGGGTCAGGGCCCATTAAGGAGTACCTAGCCCTCAAAAAAGAAGGCAAGGGTTGAAGCGGAGGCAAGCACACCCCTTCCTGCTCAAGGGAGAGACAATGATTCGGTAGCCAGGTGAGACACTGCCCCAACAAGCATGTGAAGCCGCACTCACGCTAGTGGGTGAGGTCTCAACTCTCCTGACTCAGGGGACTCCCTAGGTCACCTCGTCTAACGTTATTAATATGGACGATGAGCTCCCGGCATTGGTTACCAGGGGTGATATTCTTGTGGTTGAGCCTACAGGGGCTAAGGCATAGACCGAGGATGAGGCAACGTCTGTTATGCACACTAAGTCGACTAACCAACCTAGAAAGGAGCTAGCTGTTGAGGAGGTCACTGATGCCCATGAGGCAATTGTCGAAGTTCCTGCTTATGAAGTAAGCCAAGAGGCAAGTTTCAAGTAGCCCTTTCCCCATCGTATTGATGAGCTCCCTCAAGCTAAGTGGGAGGAGTTGAGGATGCTACTAATGGGGTTGGCAGAAGCTCGGCCTCAGTATTTAAGGAGTCATTGGATTCATTCTAGGGCGTCGTCTTAATAAGAGGGGGTCGATCTTGGAGTCTAGGATTGCCCATGCTAGAGGTTGGAGTAGTTTCTACTACCTCGGGATGAGGAAACACTCATAGAGATGTTGGATTTTGGTCTCCATCAAACCCTTAAGAGCTACATGTTCAGGGGGGGGTCTTGTAGGGCATGAACTATATGTCTGGTTTGGGCATGCACAGGAGCACTACTTCAAGATCCACAAGGAGATGGGCGTCCATAAGACCGCTCAGGAGGTAGCCAACTTAAGGACCTCGATGAGGTGAGTGAGATGATAGTGCTGAAGAGGGGTCAGGGCCGAATGAGAAGATCAAAGGTCTACTCGCCACATGTAGCTAATGATCGACCCAGCTTGCCGAGACCTATCGATCAATCAAGAACCTTCAGGAAGATCTCTTCCTTCTTGAATATGAATGTAGGCAATAAAAATTGCCTTTAATCCTTATCAGAGAAGTTCAGAACAAAACTGCTAAAACCTCGCCCGAAATAGCAGAAAAAGGGGAAAACGCAGATATCTCCCAAACCGTAAGGAATTTGGCAAAACGGAGGAAGCGAACCGAAGCCTTCGGCTTGGTTCGGATGGCTCCATCTCGTCGAGATAGGCGATTTTCATACGTAACTCGTCCAATTCCGACTTACGGTTTGAAAGTTACGGCCTATTCTTCAATCCATGCTCAGGAGCTCGCCTGCAACTCAAATTCGCCTGCAGTCCCAAATCCGCCTGCAGACCCAAGTCTGCCTGCTCGCCTGCAGCTCGAAATTCGCCTGCAGTCTCAAATCCGCCTGCAGACCCCAAGTCTGCCTGCAGTCCCAAACTCGCCTGCAGACTCAGCTCGCCTGCAAGCTCGCCTGTAGACCCAAGTCTGCCTGCAGTCCTAAGCTCGCCTGCAGACCCAAGCTGCAGACTCGCCAGCTCACTGTCAACTGCCCACTTGGAGTATGGGAACAGTTACATCAGTGGTCAAATCCCACAAATCAAGGGAGAGGGCACAATACTCCAGGCCCGTCAGATGGCCGTCCACAGTACGAATGAGCGGACAGGCGCCGAAACAGCCTGCACCCTCATAAATGCGGCTCACCTCAGTTGTCCAGGTGAAGGGACGAGAGCCGCCAACGCTCGGTGGTTGGTCAGATCCACGCAAGCATCTGA